GCAACGCAAACAAATTGTTCTTGGTGAGAAATATTACGAAGGCTGGAGCGACGTCAGATTGGGAATCCATTAGAGTTCACCAGCAAACACTCGCACACATTCTCGACGAGACGGGGGGCCGCATACCGAGGCAGAAAGTATGGGAGCTTGGAGTCAAGAAGTTCGTCAACGATAGTGGGTTGGATTTTTCTCACCAAGATATCGAGACGTGCGCTTATCACGGGCGCGCGATGTTCATGAGATTGTTATTGTGCAAAAGGAATTCTCGGAAGCCTCCAAGAGCTTTCGGTTGCCTCAACACCCTCATCGACCGAATGCACATCGACAGTAGCCACCAGGCCGACGGGGAGGTGAAGAATAATGAGGTCGACACAGCGCCCGCAGTAGACGAGCGCGATACGGTTGTGGAGATTATGCCGAAGAAGAAGCAGTCCGTGGTCTGCATGTCAGTTTCGGACACCTTCTCGGCGGAAGACCTGGGCGACTTGGAGCAGCGAGTGTTTTCGAGAGCAAGGGCGACAACAACTGCTGCTCCTGGACGCGATGCGTCGAGTGAGATCAGTGAGCCTCCGGAGTCAGCGGCCGCCAAGCCCGACGAGTACAAGAAGTTGAAGGCAAAGCTCAAGAACAGCATGAAGGCAATGAAGGCAATGCAAGCGACGAAGGCCAGCACGAAGGCAAAGAAGGTCGAGCACAAAGCGGCCATGAAAAAAGAAAAGAAGAAACGATTGGCGGTGCAACAGAAAAAGGATGATGTTCTCGCCAGCACGGTCGACGCCGACGACCCCCTCCAGAAGTGCGTCGACCAGGTCAAGGATGGCATTGATTTGAAAGTTGTGAAAAATCGTGTACATTCCAAGTACTACCACGATGGGCGTGCGCGGCGCGAGGCCATCGGCATGCGCCCAGAGCAGTGGAAGCCTAAGGCGGCCGCGGCGGGGCGGGCAGGCGTGGCGCGCTGGAGTTCGCTGTTGTGAGCCAGCCACTGTAGCATCTTCTCCCTCGTGCAGTTCCTCCCCTCATCCTCCTTATATGATTATCCCTCCTCATCGTGATTCGCCTCATCCTCGTCCTCGTTATCCTTCTCTTCCTCGTTTGCTTCCAAACTCCTTTGAACAGTAACTCATCCTCCTCCACCTCCTCCTCTTCGTTTTCTTCCAAACGCGTGATTCCCCTCGTTTGCTCGCTGGGCACTGGCTCAGCACAGCGTCTCGGCGCGGGCCCGAGAGGCGTCTGCCTAGATAGCGTCAGATCCCTCAGATCCCTCCTCCGCCTCCTCCTCCTCCTCCTCCTTCTCCTCCCCCTCCACGTCCTCCTCCTCCCCCCCCCCCCCCCCCATCCCTCCTCCCCTTCCTTCTCCTCCTCCTCCTCCTCCTCCTCCTCTTCCTCCTGCTCCTCATCCGTGGGCCTGTCTGCATCTCTCTGAAGAGAGAATGCCAAGCGATTTCTGCCCTACTTGAGTACCTGCTCTATTTGAGCATCCGCGCGCGCCACTCGGCACGGGCAACATCGCAATGCTGGAGACGATCTTACATCATCACCACCACCGCCACCATCATCATCATCACCATCATCATCATCATCGTCACCATCATCATCATCGCGAAGCTCGCCTGAGCCTCCCTGTGACATCCCCTGGCGCTCGCGGGGGTAGCTATCTTACGGTAAAGGGCGTTTCAAGCATGTGGTGCTCCGACAGGACCCGAGAGGACTTCACGGGGGGTCCCGAGAGATGGCGACGATCCGGGGCGCTGGTTGACGTCGATGGCGGTGACGATGACGGTGACGGTGACGGTGACGATGATGAGGATGATGATGATGTTGATGATGCGGATGAGGATGATGATGATGGTGATTCTGGCGATGGTGATGGTGATGATGCTGATGATAATGATGATGATCATGATGATGATGACGATGATGATGACTCTGATGAAGCGCCCAGAAGAACCCCAGGTGAGCCCCTTATTAGATCGACCTCGGACGGCCAAGTCGCACTTTGGCGTCATTCTTGACGCTTCGCGTAAACCCGCCAGCCCATCCAGAAACGATCAGCAGGGGGGTTAGTGAATCAGGGGCGGCAGAACGCATGCAGTCTCGCAGCCGTCTTCGAGAACACACGCATGCCACATAGCTTCCCGCGTTGAAGTTTAAGGTGGGCATCCGTGCAAATTACGATGGTGTTTCGATGAGAGGTGAGGGGTACTTCGAAGACTCGTGATGGCTGTTGCACTGGTTTGTATCATAACCCGCGTGCGTTCCCAAACTTGGAGGCATCTTGTGGCCCTCTTGGGATTCTCTTGGGCCCCTCTTGGGGCCTCCTGGGGCTCATTCTTGGGGCTCTCCTGAGGTCATCTTCGGGCTTTCTTGGGGCTCTTTGGGGGCGTCTTGGGGACCTCGTGGGGCTCTTTTGGGGGGTCTGGGGGCCTTCGTAGGGCTTTTGGGTGTTGTCTGGGAGGCCTCTTGGGGCCATCTCAGGCAGCATTGATCAAACAGAAGAGGGGGGGGGGGGGGGGGGGGGGGGGGGCAATTCTTGCCCCCCCCCCCCCCCCCCCTCCCCCCCTCCCCCCATCTGAGGCTCAACCATGCCGTCGCGTGGCCCTCTTGGCCCGCTCTTGGGCGCTCTTGGGGCCGTCTTGGGGCCGTCTTGGGGCTCTCTTGGGCCCCCTAGTGGGGCTGTCTTGGGCCATCTTGGTGCCATCTTGAGGCCCCGAGGGCCCTTCGGAGGCGAAAATGAGAGAAGGCAAACAACATGGATTTTCCTTCGGTGTTTGAAGGATGTTGGCCTCTTGGGGGGGGGGGGGGGGGGGGGGGGTTCGGGGGCCTCGGAGGGCACGTGAACCCGTCGCGGGGCGGAGGCTTCTTGGACGCGTGTCGGATGCTACCTGGACCCGTATACTGCTATCTTGGCCGTCTAGGTCCAGGGAGGACCCCGAGAGCGCCCCAAGAAGGCCCTACGCGTGTCGGATGCTACCTGGACCCGTATACTGCTATCTTGGCCGTCTAGGTCCAGGGAGGACCCCGAGAGCGCCCCAAGAAGGCCCTAAGAGGACCTCAGGAGAGCCCCAAGAAAGAGCCCTAGACCACCTGCGCCCAGAGGGCTGGTGGGGTAATGTGAGCTTCTGTCCGCGTTGCCGTTTTGGCTCAAGCTGGGCAGCTGATTAGCAGCTGCTACACGCAATCAGATTGCGCGCGACCGTTCATCATGCCACCAACCAGGGCACGCTCAGACGACAAGTGGTTCACGGGCACGGCGCGCCGCCTCACGGCAGAGGGCAGCTTCCAAGTACACCCGCCTTCCTCGCCACAGTCTGCCGATGGCGACTCCATGGCCGTTGATGTCGACATGCTCTCCGAATCTGGTGCCCAGCACAACTCAGAGGAAGCTGTGGAGGCATTCCAAGTCTCAATGGTGGCGACCATCCAGAAGATAGAGGACGTCAAGACGGTCGCGAGCTCGAAGATTGTGCAGCTTCCTGACCACAAGTACATGGCCGACTTTTCGAAGCAGCTGGAAGAGTTCGTTGTCGAGTGTTGTCTACAAGTCTCTTCTGGTGAGAAAGTAGCCCGGGACACATCTGGCGACCTCGCCGAGAAGGTCGCCAACGCCACGATGGCCGCCGACAAGCTCTCGCGCGACTTCCAGGACTGGATGAAATGGCGGCGCCGTCTGACGGTCGAGCCTGACGACTCGCGAGCGGCAGCCGCCGAGCCCTCAGACCCCTCATCGGACACTACCATCGAGGCCCAGGAGACGCCCAAGGCCAACGCCAAGAGCAAGGGCAAGGCGAAGGCCAGTCAGCGCAAGGGCACGACCAAGAAGGACCCTCAGCCGAAGCGCCAGGGAAATTCCAAGAAGGGCAAGGCCCAGGCCAAGGGAAAAGGGAAACAGAAGATGAGGAAAACCGATGACGATGAGACCGAGTAGACAGTTCCAGAGGCTGCAATGTGTAATTTTGGTGTCTGCGGTGGCTGCGATCGTCGTCTCAGATGGTTGCAGGGCTATGCCGTAGGCCACTTCTTGAAACTTCCTGGGGTCACGGCCCTGTGGGTAGACTCCATGGGGTGGGGCCGAGCTGCCCAGAAAAAAAACCACCGCCGCCATCGCAACAGCTGGGCAACGGGTTCATCATCATGACCATGTTCATGTGACATAACACCCTCGGGGTTGGGCGTATGTTTGGGCATCCTAGGCAAAGCGCCGCCGTCGAGCGAGCAGGCGATATAGTGTTCACCCGACGGGCCTCGGGAGAGCTCAGGGCGAACACTCCTTCGCTCGATCGTTCCGTAGGTCTACGGCTCAACAACAGTTTCATCATCACCATGATGAGTATCATCATTACCGCCGCCATCATCATCATCCTCATCATCACCATCACCATTCCTGCCACCTTTCATCTGAGAACCTGAGACTCAATGTTGCCGCAGCATTCGTCGGGAGGGAAATGCAACGCCATCTAGCGACCGATTGCTTCTCAAGCCGTCTTGCTCGTCCAGCTGCCGTTCCTTGGACATGGGGTCCTGAGAGTGGGCGCATTATTGAAAGCAGGCTCACATGATATATATATATATATATGTCATGCATGCTCTAGCCTTGTGCCAATTCTGAATCAAGTCCGATATATGCCCCAGCCCAGCCCCGAGCATGAGTCCATCCCCGTGCCAAGTCTGCAGTCTGAAGTGCATCTCAGACTTATTTCTATTTCAGACTTACTTCCATTTCAGACTCAACAAGGCAATCATATATATATATATATGTATATGGTTTCCTACCTCTGAACTAAGTCTGAATTGAAATGAAGTCTGACATGCATTTCAGACTTCAGACTCATTTCAGATCTAGCATGCCGGATTTTCGGCCCACCTGCCGGGCGCGGCGCTGCCTCGCGGATCTTGGACGTGTCTCGCGAACCAAGTGTTAGGATCATAGTCCGTAGCCATTCGGGCTCAAGCCAGAGTCGGTCAGACGACCCCGTGCTTCTTGCGACGTGGCTCCGAAGCTCGCCAGCGTCAACCTCTCGAGCTACCAGCCCACGCCAGAAGAGATCGCAGCCGCCAGGGCTATCCTGGGAGAAGCGGGTTCCAAACTTCGCCACAAGCAGATGGGCAGCATGGCTCACTACCTGAAGAACAACCAAGACGAGAAGGTGCAGAACTCCCGTGGGGCAGAGCGCGAGAAGTACCTCGAGGCTTACCTGGCGTTCCAGCTGAAGGAGAAGTCTGCTTCGAAGAAGGTCACCAGGACCGACGGGTGCGAGAACAAGAAGTCAAAGATGACGGATGTCCACTGGTGGTCTGCGCACAAAGTGGACCAGGAGCTCGGGTCGGCCAAGGGTAAGCATTGGAGGGAGTCCAACCTCTTGGCCTCGAGGCCCGACAGCCTCACTGGCAGCGCCGACGAGCAGTTCGTCGAATGGGCAGTTCCACTCAATTGGGGGAGGCTGTCGGAGACGGTTTTAAAGGCCATGATGCTCGAGTTCATGGTGGGCGCAGGCGAGGCCGAGGCCGCGCATCTTGCAGAAGTTGCTGCAGGAATTCGCGACGAGGGCACGGGGGCTGAATCATCCACGGGGTCCACGCCAGCAGTGAAGCAGGAGTTGACAGAGACTCAGAAGCTCGAGAAGCGCGCCACGCGGCTGCAGGAGGAGCTGACCCCAGTCTTGCGGAAGTTCCAGGACATCTTGCTCGAGTCGAAGGTCATCCTCACCAAGGTGGAGGGGGGGCCCCAGAAAGAGAAGAAAATGGCATCGGTTCTGATGGCGGACCTTGGCAAGCAGATCGCGAGGGCGGGCAGGGTTACCAAGATCTTGGAGAGGCTCTGCGTGGAGAAAGGCAACATCTCCGAGGCCATGAAGCTGCTGAGCCAGATCGACGAGTGCGAGAAGATCAACCACGAGCTCAAGGAGTGGGCCGCGAAGTTCGGTTTCCTGGATGCCCCCAAGGCTTCCAAGCGGAGGCGCAAGGGCAAGCAGCAGGATGAGGACGAGTCATGAGCAGCTGGCGACAACGCCAGGATGAGGACAGTCATGGGCAGCTGGCGACAACGCTGGGTTGCAAGGTAGTTCATCTCACTATAGATGACCAACGATTCAGGGGTGGAGTCGACTCGCTGTTTTGCGCCTCTGTCCAAGCGTTTCACGCTCACGCACTCAATCAGGGCTCGATCAAGGGTCGCGCCATAACCATCATCACCATCATCACCACAACCATCATCACCATCATCACCATCATCACCATCATCACCATCATCACCATGATACGCGGGTGAAGTCAAACACCCCATCGGCTTCGGATGCGCAAAACGAGAAGAGGTAAACGAAGACGACAACAGATAAGTAGCAGTAGGAGAAGTAAGAAGATGAGGAGGAGGAGCAGGAGGAGGAGGAGGAGGAGGAGGGGGGGAGGAGGAGGAGGAGGAGGATAAGATGTGCGTTTCAAACGCGTTTGAAAGAAAACGACGAGGAAGAGGGAGGAGGAGGGAGGACAACGAGGAGGAGGGATGAGGAGGAGGATGAGGAGGATGAGGGAGGAGGAGGAGGGAGGAGAACGAGGAGGAGGGATAATGAGGAGGAGGAGGAGGAGGATGAGGAGGAGGGAGGAGAAGGAGAAGTAGGTGGATATGTTTCGGAGTCTTGTCCAAACGCGCTTGGGAGAACTGGTCAGGGCTTCGTTTCCCCCTAACCCCTGGGACAAACATGTTTACTCCAGGAATGGAAACTGGGAGGGGGGCGATCAGCAGACGCACCAACATCACCATAGTCATCATCGTCATCAACGTTATCGTCAACATCGACATCGTCTTCGCAATCAACATCCCCACAATGACCAACTTAATCGCCATCACCGTAGCCGAATTGTGGCTCAACGTTTTCCGTTTTTCCATATCAAGCCAATGAAGTGCCGTGGTACCGCGCTGATCCATGTTGTGCTCTGCGCATTCACTCTCGCCTCGCAATTGGACTGCGCCTCAGGCGTTGGCACGAAGCAGCGCCTGGCACGCTCCGAGGGGCATGCCGCTCTGGATGCCGACCCACCGCCCATCCCAGACCCTCGGCGCGGTGGCATCAAACGTCGTGCTGCTGCATCGGCGGACGAGTCCACCAACGATAAACACCCCATGGCGAAAGCAATGATAACTGATTGGGCAAACGGAGATTTGAAGTCACGCCGAATGCAGAATTACGCAGCCCTTTCTTCCTCTGATGCTACATGGCTCCAGAAGCTTGCCACAGTTGCGAATTCGGGCAAAGCCAAAAGCAATCTATTTCGGGATCTGGTTAGGACTTTTGGATTACCTTATGGAGCACCAGAATTCGACTGGCTGGAGCTTCCGACGTCAAGGGGCCCACTCACGGCACATCCTGTTATATTCCCACATACATTTTTCCATCACTAGGCGAAATATAACCAAGACACGTTTAAAGACCGCGTTGCAGGCTCACCCGAGGAACGTTATCAATTCTGGGGGTCCCTGCAGCGAACGGAATTCGTCCGACAGCACGAACGCATAGATCGAGCTCAGTGGCGCAACATTGTGCCGCCGGGCATACACGGCGACGCTGGCGCGCACAACGAGCTGGACTCCGTCTACGTTCTGAGCTGGAACGGGATCCTTTCATTTGGATCGACACGAACCAAACGTTTCCTATTCACTGTGATGCGGAAGTCAGAGGACACCATCGACAATGGATAAGCTTCTGGAGAGCATGGTGTGGTCGTTCAATATTTTATCAAGCGGCAAAACATCGATGGCTGATTTCTTGGGGCGCCCACTGCTTGGAGGAGGTCGCCCACTCGAGCACGGCCTCGCAGCTGTGGTATGTCAGGTCCGAGGCGATTGGCAATTTTACCAAGAGGTTTTCAAGTTCCCCACCCACAACGCATTGTCAATGTGTTGGCCATGCGCCGCCAGCAATCACATCGGACCCCTGCTCTGGACCAACTCTCTTTCAGACGCTGGCTGGCGCGACACGATGTTCACGCGTGAAACCTTCGTGGAGTTCAGGTGGCGGCTAGGGGTGATGCTACCTGTGCTCTTCTTGATCGTGGGCCTACGGTTGGAGAACATAATGATCGACGCGCTACGCGCGATCGACCTGGGCGTGTGCGCCCACGTGGTGGGGAACATTATGTGGCTGTATGGGGTTCGCCGCAATGTCTTCAAAGGTGGTGCTCAGGCAGATCGCATCTGTAAAATGGAAGGTAATCTGAAGCAGTGGCACACAGATGCCCGCTGCGAGAATCGAATTCAAGGCGCGCTCGCGCCGCAGTGGGTGAGGACAAGCGCCGATTGGCCGAAGATGAAAGCCAAGGCGGCCCAGACTCGAGCGCTGGCGTACTACGCCTTGTACCTCGTGACGACATGTGGCGACATGGAGAATGAGGAGGAAAAACTGGCTATGGTCGCCGCAACCCTTCTAGTAGAGTTTTCAACATCATGAAATCGGAGGGTACGTTTTTGTCTGATGCTGCTCGCGCTCGTTTGCCTAGGATTGGCCAGAAGTTCGCCATGGCGTACAGCAAGTTATCGATCAATGCGCTCGCAGCAGGCACCACATATTGGAAGCTGGTTCCAAAGTTCCATTTGTGGGGGCATCTTCTTGAGTGGCAGTGCTTGGAGTGGGGTAACCCGCGTTTTTATACAACATACGTTGGCGAGGATATTGTAGGCATCTGTATTACAAGTCATGACGCTTCGCGTGCCCCCACCAGTGCTCTTGCCACCTGACCGTCGCTTCGCGGCCGCGACCGAAAAAAAAGTACCCCCACCAGCCCATCCAGAAACGATCAGCAGGGGAGTTGGTGAATCAGGCGCGGCAGAACGCATGCAGTCGCGCAGCCGTCTTCGAGAACACAAGCATCACACATAGCTTCCCGCATTGAAGTTTAAGATGGAAACCGGTGCAAATTACGATGGTGCTTCGATGAGAGGTGAAGGGGTATTTCGATGATTCGTAATGGTTGTTGCACTGATTTGTAGCTTAAACTCGAGTGCGTTCCGAAACTTGGAGGCATCTTGGGGCCCTTCTGGCATTCTCTTGGCCCCCTCTATAGGTTTACCTCCCCCCCCTCCCTGCGTTTGGACGGGGGGGGGGGGGGGGGCATAGCAGCGTCCAAGATGGCTCCAAGAGGGCCTCCGAGAGCGCAAGATGGCCTCCAAAATGGCCCAAGATCGCGGTAGACAGGTCAAGATAGCTTCCGACGCGCGTCCAAGAGGCCTCAAGACGGCCCCAAGACGGTTTCAAATGCCTTCCGAGGCCTCCAAGGACCCCCCCAAGAAGCCCAAATGTTTCAAACACCGAAGGAAAATCCATGTTGTTTGCCTTCTCTTTTTTGTTCGCCTCCGAAGGGCTCCTGAGGCCTGAAGATGGCCCCAAGATGGCCCAAGACGGCTCCAAGAGGGGCCCAAAAGAGCCCCAAGACGGCCCCAAGAGCACCCAAGAGCTCTCCAAGAGCTGGCCAAAAGGGCCCCAAGGCGGCATGTTTGAGCCTCCGAGGGTGGGGGGGGGGGGGGGGGAGAATTGCCCCCCCCTCCCCCCCCCCCCTCCCCTCTTCTTTAGCCATAAGGACCAAGACGGCCCCGAGAAGCTTCCCAGAACCCCCCCCCAAAAAGAGCCCCAAGAGGGCTCCAAGACCTTCCAAAAGAGACCCAAGAGGGCCCCAAGAAGGCCCCGAGAGGACCCCAAGAGCGCCCCAAGAAGGCAGGACCTTAGGAGAGCCCCAAGAAAGAGCCCCGGCAGGGAAAGGCAGGAGGTTGGAAAAGGGAAACGCCCTAGACCAACTGCGCCCAGAGGGCTGGTGGGATTTCGCAGACTGTGCACACGACAGCACTTGCAGCATCCACTCTTTTCAAGTGGTTGTATGTGTTCTATTCAGATTAGGCCTCTGCTGGCCTCTGGAAGGTAGCGGCAACAAGAACATCATCGCGATCATCGCCATCAACATCACATCACGCACCAAATGCGTAAAACAATGCATTTACATAACATCGTATGTAATCCCAAGAAAATTGTGTAGATCGCTACGCCTGCTTATATATCAACGCACTGATGATCCTCTGGCTGGGGTCAGTCCGGGGTCGGTCCGGGGTCGGTCCGGGGTCGGTCTGGCCGGGGTCGGTCCGGTCGGTCCGGGGTCGTCCGCAGTCAGTCCGGGGTCGGTCCGGGGTCGGTCCGGGGTCGGTCCGGGGTCGGTCCGGGGTCAGTCCGGGGTCAGTCCGGGGTCAGTCCGGGGTCGGTCCGGGGTCAGTCCGGGGTCAGTCCAGGGTCAGTCCGGGGTCAGTCCGGGGTCAGTCCAGGGTCAGTCCGGGGTCAGTCCGGGGTCGGTCCAGGGTCGGTCCGGGGCCAGTCCGGGATCGGTCCAGGGTCGGTCCGGGGGCGGTCCGGGGTCAGTCCGGGGTCAGTCCGGGGTCAGTCCAGGGTCAGTCTGGGGTCAGTCCGGGGTCAGTTCCAGGTCAGTCCGGGTTCAGTCCGGGGTCGGTCCGGGGTCGGTCGGGCTCGGTCCGGGCTCGGTCCGGGCTCGGTCCGGGCTCGGTCCGGGGTCGGTCCGGGCTCGGTCCGGGGTCGGTCCGGGGTCGTCCGGAGTCGGTCCGGGGTCAGTCCGGGGTCTGTCCGGGGTCAGTCCGGGGTCAGTCCGGGGTCAGTCCGGGGTCAGTCCGGGGTCAGTCCCGGGTCAGTCCGGGGTCGGTCCGGGGTCGGTCCGGGGTTGGTCCGGGGTCGGTCCGGGGTCATTCCGGGGTCAGTCCGGGGTCGGTCCGGGGTCGGTCCGGGGTCAGTCCGGGGTCAGTCCGGGGTGAGTCCGGGGTCAGTCCGGGGTCGGTCCGGGGTCAGTCCGGGGTCAGTCCGGGGTCAGTCCGGGGTCAGTCCGGGGTCAGTCCGGGGTCCGTCCGGGGTCCGTCCGGGGTCGGTCCGGGGTCAGTCCGGGGTCAGTTCGGGCCCTTACTCATTAACTTAAAAAACTAATTGGTTATAAAAATTATCAGCTCCTTATTATA